TTCCCTAAAGATACTTCCCTGGTCTGACTTCTCCAGAGTGCCATGCTAAACATTCCTTTGAGCATGAGCAGTAGACAGTTTGCCACAAACATCACACGTACCCATCATTTAGTTAAGCAGCATGCCTTAGAGTTATATTATATAATAGAAGGACAAGTACACTAGAGTAGGGAGTTTTCAGTTCCATCTATGTTTAAAACATTCATTACCATGGGCTCTCCTATGTCCCAGAAAAGAACTTGAAATTCAATGTTATGTGACCCACGCGGGGAGTAATTAAGATGATGCTTTTAATGTCTTTATTTTCTCTCCCCTCTATGTACTCACACACACAAACTCACGCATGCACATGGACACATATACATACTATATATGTAGTATGTTATATATCACATATTTCACACACATATACACACCTATAAGTCATTAAACTTAGATATACCTTCTAGATATGTTCTAAAATACACAGCTTAGTAGTTTAAACCCTTCCTTTTAAAATATTCTGCAAATAACTGCTAACTCAGCTTAGTCTTGTAACCTTTCTATCTTTTTTCAGTAATTTTTTCTTATTTTTTTACTTCATACAATTATCTTTTATTCTCTGTAAGCCCTTTCTCTTCCATCAAAATAAGGAACTTGGCTAGTTCAGATTTTTCTTCTGGGAAGTTAACTAACTAATCAGAATTTCACAAGGCAGTGTTGACATGAGATAATTTTCATTGAGGTTTCACCCCAAGAGAAGAATAGGGTGTTTACCTAGCAGTAATCTCAGAACCTATTGATATTTTCTTCTGATCTCCTTTTTTCAGTCTTTTCCTTCCATTTCTCTCTCTCTCTCTCTTTCTCTCTCTTCCTCCGTATTCATTCTATCCTCTATGTGTATATTTTGTATTTACTTGTATGTTTTTAGTTGCTTTAATTTAAGAGAATATTAGCTCCTTGAGGCCAGGGATTCCTTTCTTTTTCCCTTATTGGGGAGGCATCTTGTTTCCTCAACTAGGATTCTACCTTTTGCATAATAGGTGCTTAACAAATGTATGCTGATTCCAATTGAAATGTGGAATTACCTGCTAAATCTTGTTCTTCAGAATAGAGAATCCCAAAAGAAATATTGTTCTGTAACTGAAGGCATCATTTCAGTCTTCTACCTGTAACCTTTTGTAGCACTCCTTCTGAGTTCATTCTACCAATTTCTATTCACATTAGTGTGCTGGATCTCCAGAGAGTGGCTGACTTCTCTCTTAAGGGTACCATTGAGGGATTTTGTTGTTTGCAATACAGTTGATCATAGTCACTGTTTTCTTATTATCCACCAGATTAATTAGTTTTTAGAAATAGATACTAAGAAGGACAAGTATTAAGCATGGCCCCAAAACCATAACTCACATGGGATGGCTGGAAGACAAGAAGAGCCGCCACTACTAGAGAAGCTTGTTCTCCATGACGTCCCACTTTGCCCAAATTGCTTGACTGCTTACATGGGTTGGATGAGAGGAGTCAACATTTCTATTCCTTCTGATGAAGAGGACCAACAGGCCATACCTGACCCTGCCTCCTAAGACCTTGCAGGCTTTAACATGTGCCCTTCCTCTATTCCCTATAATCCCTTGGCATTCTCTTCTTAACCTACATACCTATAGGCCTTGATATTCACCCCATGACAGCATCTTTAATGCATCTAGTCCTATTCATGTGCACTACAGTTTACATGTGTTTTCTTCCCAAATTGGAATATGAGCTCCCTTAAATGATCATTGTCTTGATTTTTCTATTTTTTTGGCATAATGGTTAGCACAGAGCTTGGAGCAGAGTTAACTTAATAAATATTTTTTAATTGATTGACTCATATGGAGGCACACTCACTACTTGGAAGGTTCCTGTGGAGAACAGACTCAAAAATCATGTTGAATACAGTCATTAGACAGGCTACCTGACCCTGACTTCATGATCGGAAGAGGTTCCAACCATTTGGAGTTCATTTTTTGGTTTTTCTGGAAGCTCTCCATTGCCTGCCATTCCGACCAGATGTCACCACTTTCCAAGCCTCCCCAGCCTTTTCTGTGTATGCTCTGCTATTTTGCAAAACAACTTATGTAACAGCTTTGAGAGGCTGTACCTTCCACGAGACTCTCTTCCCATTGAAGTGTATGTACACCCTGCTCCTCCCAGGCACTCCAGTACTTGGGTGCTATACAGTATCCTGAACTGCAATTCCCTTGCCTGGATTAAAGACTTATTGTTGCTAATTTGATAGTCCTCTTTATTTTAGGTTAACATTAGAGAGCACATGTGAACAAAGGGTAAGTCCCTAGTTACTGGAAACCCTTTTCCCTTTTTATATAGTCCTGCCTTGGGTACATCTCTCTAGAGGGCTTCAAAAGTCTTTGTTCCTGTAGAGTCCATGGGTGCTTATAGAGTTTGCCTCCAATGTGTCTTTAAACTTACCATGCAGATGTTGCCATCCTAGATTGCTCCTCAGGTACACTGTTAGTGATGCTGAAGGGAAATCTAAATCCTCTACCCTTTCAAAATCTAGACCTAGGCTAATGTTTCAAAGTTCATCAGGTTGTCACATGGTCAATGGGGTTTGGGAGAGGAGGATTTTCCTGCTGTTAGAATGGAGGATTCCAAACTAGGCCATTATATAGGCCCAGATGTATGTCAGACTCTTTCATTCAATTTCAGGGTAAATCCTGTGTATCCTCATCTCTCCTTATCTGATTTTCAAAGAATTTTACTTCTAACAGATTGTTTAAAGATTTGATTTGTTCATTCCTAATTTATATCTTTGATTGATTGAATCTAGACATTTATTTAAAATAATTGGGACTGGGGTAGAAGCTTCCTAGGGCAGGGGAGGGGGGAGTAGCAAAGTGCTAGATAGTATAGTAGATAGAACACTGGACTCAGTTAAGTTAAGTTCTGAATTCAAATCTTGTCTTAGACATTTACTAGCTATGTGAACCTGGCTAGTTACTGAATATCTCTCAGCCTCAGTTTGCTCATCTGTAAAATGGAAATAATTATTATTATTATTATTATTATCTGCCTCATAGGTTGTTGTGAGGATCAAATATTATAACATGTAAATCACTTTGCAAACCTTAAAACACTATATAAATGCTAGTTATTATCTTTATTATTTTTGTTATGCTACTCATTATTTTACAAAGTCTTTGGCTGAGATAAAACCTTTCCCCTGGCATTTGGGCAAAACTTACAGATCTCTAATATTTAACCCAGCTAATTTCAATCCAGGAGGTAGTTGGATGGCTCAGTGGATAGAGCAATGGTTTGGAGTTAGGAAGACCTGAATTCAAATCTGGCCTTAGACACTTACTAGCTGTATGACATCAGGTAAATTGTTTAACCTTTCTTTGTCTTAATCCACTGGAAAAGGAAATGACAAACAGCTCTTGTATCTTCACCAAGACAACTCCATGGATAGTATGGTCCATGGGTTCATAGAGTGCCAGATACAACTGAAAGACCAAAAAAACCCAATTTCAACCCACTGGCCCATTCAGATGCTTTTCAATATAAATCCTTTCTCTCACTTCTACTTGAAATCATCCATACACTTTCCTTTTTTATATCCTAAAAGCATTCTTTCTTATTTCAGGGACATCTATCTCAACACTACTGAAAATGCTCAGACCAATTTCCATTGACCTTTTTGCTTCTAGTACAAATGAGCAATTCTTAGATTCTGACATAGTTGAGCTTCTTTGCTTCTCAGGATCCCCTTTGACCTTAAAATCTAACAAAGTGTTCCTGAGCAGTTAGCCTTTTCTATTTGTGACTGCTGATTGATTTTTTCCCTGTAGAAATGCTTCAATCCCCCCCCACACACTCTCTCAAGGCTAATTTTTCTTCATCCTTTTTCCTAATATATATACACACATATATGTATATATGTACACATGTATATATACGTATATAAATACATATATGTATATAAATACATATATGTGTATAAATACATATATATGTATATAAATATATATGTATATATACACATATATGTGTATACATATAGATATATATATATATATATATAGATATAGATATAGATATAGATATAATTTATGTGGGAGGAAAGCTTAGAATATTGTTCTACCCCAGTATCATATTATAGATAGTTTAAAAGGCCTACGTGGCTTTTGGCCTACATGGACTCTTAAGGGTCCTTGCCCAATCTGAGACTCTCTCATTCTATTAAACCTGGTTCCATGAAGTTTATACAGAAATGTTATTTAAGAACAAGAATGCAGATCTCCCTTTCTCCATCACATACTGCTTTGGCTCTGTAGAGAAACAATAAGCACCTCACAAGAGGTTCGTAGGAATGGACACAGAATTTGTTTCCATTACACATGGTAAGGTGTGTTCAAGTGCTGTGTGATTATGTGCCTTCATACTTGAACAATTCCAAGGAAACACCAAAGTTACCCATGAACATATGATTATGTAGAGAGATTAGAGACAGATGACAAATGTAAAAAGACTAAAGCACAAACAAAACCCGGAAACATTATTTATACCAACATATCACACCATTAAGTGGAGGAACATCATGTATTTGAGTGACATCACAGATTATAAGCACAGCTTCTCAATTTGTTTAGAAAGATGTAATCTTAAGATACCTACCAGTGAAATATTTATTTAAAGATAGAATCTCTGGGAGAAAATAAAATTAATTAACTAGCACCTCTTTCTCTGCTCATTAACATAGTGAGTGGAAAAATAAATATAATTGGACAATTTAAGTGACAAGACATAAAATGACTCACTCTGATCTTTTCATGTTAAATGAATCCTCTCTGTTTTTTGCCCCTCTCTGATAATAAAATGGAAACTTTAAGTAATGATCTGTCGGAGAAGGGGATAATAACTCTAAATGCTAATTTAGAAGATAAAACCTGTAATTGAATAAATAGAAGAAAAATGATATCATCATTAGTCACTGGAAATCATAAATGTACTCTTTACAACACCTGTATATGCAAACTGCACGAGGTCCCAGAGAGCATTAGGATCTATGCCTTCCATTTTGATTTCTTCTTGCTTGGCTTCGCAAACATCACTCGTAAACATAGCAGCAAAGTAGTCGGAGACAGAACTGAGAACAAGCCTAGAAAAGACAAAGAAAAACATATAACTTCAAGTGAAGTTGAAACATCTGCTTATTCTTTGATAAGAGGAAGTATCATATAGGATATGTGATCAAGAAGGGACATCAAAAGGTCATCTATTATTAGAGGACCTTACCTTCAAAAAGAGAACACTTAGGCCATTAGAGATGAATGGCTACATCTCATCTACTGAAAATTACAGGGAGTACATAGTTTCTTTGACTCACTTTTATCCTTTCCTCTATTGCTTTGTTTTATTTATTCCTCTTTTTCCTTAATCATTTATTTTGCCCCATCCACACTTTCTTCAGATTTTTACCTCTTCAGGCTTCAATTTTATTCTAGATTCATAGGAGGAACATAAGTTTGAAATATTGTGTAGCTCTAGAAAAAATTATTGGATCCCGACTCTACAATTTACTGCTTATTGACTTTAGGTAGAATGCCAATCATCTCTAGAACTCAGTTTCACTATCTATAAAATACGTGTTTTAGGTAAGATGGTCTATGAGGTCCCTTGAAACCCTAAATTGTATGATAGCCTATAAACAAATCTCACAATGATATATCCATGTGCAATGTAATTTTTCAGAAATTATATTTAGAATATACATGAATGTACTATGTGACATAAAACTTTTCTTTCATGTACACTTAATTTTATAATTAGATACAAATTGAATAATTGCTCTTCAGAATTAATGACTAAAAAATTTAGCATTACAGTCCAAGTAGACTTCAAAAGCACAGCTCATTAAAGTAAATATTATTCAGGAATTTATTTTCTAAAAATGAAATTCATTTTTCAAAAGGTTAGCAAGAAATCAAAATAAGTAACATATCTCCATTGTTTTAGCCTAATTTTAACCACCATTGTATATCATGTTACAACGGTCACATTTAAAGAAAATGCTATGATACATGACACAATGGAGACACTTATAATAACGTTAGTTGAAAGTCTGAGATCATGATGAGATTACCTGTCACGATGTCACTGTACATATGCTTATACAAATCTCTGTAGGTTTTGGCCACTGCCATAGCAAAGTCTTTACTGGGTCAGTGCCCAGGACAATTCAGTGAGATTGTGCATTTAAAATTTGAATGAACAGACACTGGGTGTAGTAGTAAATAAACACAGAACTGTGTCTGGTTAACAAAAATTGGCTAGCTCTCTATGCTAATTATGTTAATGTCATAGGTTTGATATCCATGAAAATTAGTTAGCTTTTTGTCTGTTCAATGGCAACAGACTGTACCCTTCACCCTAGCCAGAAGGTTTACAAATGTACAAAGGGGAAAGAGAAGGCTGAATAAGAAAGATAAAGCACTTTAAACCACATATACTAATGACAGAGAGACACCAAAAGTAGAATATTATTACCTAAAGTATACATAGAGTTGGAAGGAAATTCAGAGCCCAACTACTCCAGCTTCCTCATTTTACAGATGAGAAGACTAAAGCCTAATGAGGTTAAGGCACTTGTCAAAGATGACACAGCCTGAAACCATTAGAGGCAGGATATCCCACCTCTAACCATTTCAACACTTACCAGGGACAATACAAAGGTGAATTACCCAGATCTTAGAAATTAAAATGTGTTATACTCTAATATATGCACATCAACTGTTGAACTTGTTTCAGGTTAAATTTCTGGATCATTTAGTACCTGAAGAATATTTTAAATGAAGAGATGAAGGTAGATGGCAAATAGAGATAAGACAGTATGTCTAAATTTATGAAAGCAAGGGCAGGAGAATAAAAGTAGTCACTGAAGGGAGGTGAAATGATTTCATGATGTAGGAGAGGGTCCAAAGATTAAGCATAAAGCAATGTGGTCAGAATTTATATAAGAAGATAAAAATCTGAGTGTATCTTTTAAAGAACATTTTAACTATAAAAGGAATATACATACATGCATGTGTCTATGTATATACATAGACATACAAGTATACATATACACATGTGTATATATGCACACACATATAAACCTACACACATGTATGCACAAACACATCTATACATATGCACATACATGCATGTATATTTATGTGTATGTATATCTATGTGTATGTGTGTGTATGTGGAAACCTTAGCATGGATTTTCCTTGAAGGAACATTGTTGAGGATAGAGGCAAAAGAAAATCATGATACCTCCTTCAATTCTTTGTGGAAGTGGGAGCCTATGAGAACAGTTCAATGCATATTATATCATACTTTTTTGATATGTAGATTTTTTTGATAAACTTTTGTTTTTATTTCCTCTTTGTAGTTCATTATAATGGCTCTACAGTGGGTGGTGTAAAAATACAAGCTATCCACAAAAAAAAATATTTTTAACAAAGAGGGTAAGCAAGGCTTACTTGAAGGTTTCAAAAGTTTAAAAGTCTTAAGGAAAGAATATTTGACAATATTTAATGTTGACCTCCAATAATACAGAATAATCAAAGATGGATGTTTCAAGTGAAACCAGACCACAAATTTCCTTTACTAGACGAGGAAATACATAATGCTGATTTTTTTTCTTTCCATTTTTTAAAGAAACACTAAAAAGTTGTTTACATTTTGCCATCCTTCAGAAGATGTTCATGGTATATATAGAAATACCACAAAAATATTCAAAGTTAGCAAGTACCCACCTATTCAAGGAACTGTCTGTAACTCACATGTCAGAACTTTATAGTGTTAGAGTGTGATAAAATTATTAAGGCATATCTGTCTCCATGTATTTGCTACGTACCAAGCAGATAAATCAGCATCAAATGTTTGGTCCCATCCACAGAACTAGAAATGACTTTTTATGTCAGAAAGATACAAGTTCTTACTTATATGTGAACTGTTTTCCATTTAACTTAGGAAAGATTTAGCATAATCCTAGGGAATTAAATGTTTATCAGTGTGAAATTAACTGGGTTAAACTTATTACCTACATAAAAGATGGATTGTTAGCCCAGATGAAGCAAAAAAAAAAAAAATACAGCTCAGAAAATTGAAGTGAAAAAATCTCTCTCTTGAATGAATACCTTAAATCCTTTTCATCTATAAGAATGTTCCAAATATAGTGCACTCAAAGACAGAGGTGGGAAAAGAGTCCTATGTAGCATTTAACTGTGGTGATACATAGAATTTCAGGGAGATGTTAGGAGAGGTGATTTCAGGTTACTCTGGAATTTTTTTTAAACTTGTATATCTGGCTTTCAGCAAATTGTTCAGACCCAGAAATGGTAGGGGACATAAGTGGATATATATATAAAAAAAAAACCCTCTCTATTGAGAAATCTGTAAATATTTTTCTTACAAAATCCAATAGCTTCCCCGCCCTAATCCTCAGCCCCCTCATGTCACTGTGTTTGTAATGGACCCCCCAAATAGATCAATTTCAAATATTTAATCCTGTGAACAGCACTGAGAATAATTTTATGTATCAGGAAGGTAAAAAAATTATTATTTTTTCCTTGTCAGGTTTAGTATTTAATTGTAGATGCAGCATCATCTATTTTGAGTACGTTGAATTTGGAGCTTAAAAACTAAGTGTTAATTCTGTCTTCCCCTAAGTGGCTATGTGCCTGGCAATCCATAGACACTTTCTTCTAACTAGGACCCCTCTTACTCATTTATTGACTCCTTTCCCTGCAATTTTTACCTAGCTCTGGTTGTGGATTTAGAGATGGAAAACCTTAAGAGACCAACTATTTTAATTTACTCATTTTATATATGAGGACACTGAGGTCCAGAGAGATTAAGTGAATTGCAATTGTTATTGTTCAGTCATTTCAGTCCTTCCAGAGGTTTTATGACCCCATTTGGGGTTTACTTGGCAAAGATACCAAAGTGGTTTGCCATTTCTTTCTCCAGCTCATTTTACAGATGAGGAACTGAGTCAAACATGGTTAAATGACTTGCCCAGGATCACACAGCTAGTAAGTGTTTGAGGCTGAAATTGAACTCATGAAGATTCATTTTCCTAACTCCAGGTCCAACACTTTATCCATGCTGCCCTGCAGTAAGCAATGAAGTCAAAATTCCAACTCAGGTCTTCTAATTCTAGATTTAACATTCTTTCTACTGTATTGATCTATCCACTAAGGTCCTTTTCTCTCGATCCACTCCATTAATCAGTTTATCAACATATTTTGACTTTAATTATCACTTCCATGCTTATATCACTCAAATCTTCATCTTCAACTCTGTCCTATCATGGTATAGTAAAAAAAAAAATAGACAGCAAAACATTGGACTTGGAGTCAAGAAAGATCTGGATTTGAATCCTGCTTCAAATATGTACTACCTTTCCATAACAGGCACAAGATGTTTAACTTGAGTTTCTATTTCCTCATACATAAAATAGAGAATAATTATATTTATATTACATATCTAGCACAATTGTGGTGATCAAATGTGATAACTTAGGTGAATACTTTGTGAACTTTAAATTACTACAGAAATGTCACTTATTCTTCCTCCCAATTTCCTAAAGGACACCTCCACTCCACTATTGTGTCAAACTCAATGTATCCCCAACCAAAATTAGTTAGTTTAATAGAGAGGAAAGTGTGATGTTTTTGGAGTTAGAAGACCAGAATTCAAATCCTGTCTGTTTTTTACTGCTTATGGAGGGGTATGCTGGTAAATATTTAACAACCAGTTCTCTAGGAAACAAATAAAAAAGTTGAAAGACACTTTTTTTTTCCTTTAGGCAATCAGGATTAAGTGCCTTGCTCAGGGTCACACAGCTAAAAAGTATCTCAGAGACTGGATTTAAACTCAGGTCCTCCTGAATCCAGACCTGGTGCTCTATCCACTGTACCAAAAGACACTTATTGACATTTCCTCTATCACTTTTTGAAGTCTAGATAACCAACAAAACAGTAAATTGAGCTTTGCCAATTCCCAAGGAATTCCTTCTTCCTTATCCTTCATCCCCTAAATGCAATCTATCAACAAGTCTTATTCTTTGTTACTTTGAAATATCTGTTGGATGTGCTTTTCTCTCCC